AAAAAAAAAACAAAGATAAAAAATAAATAAATACATAAATAAAAGAAATTTGTATCACACTTTTCCATGTGAAGGGAAATGTGCAAATTGCAAATCTTTTTTATTTCTGATGAGGAATATAGTTTTAGATGGATTAATATAAACCCCTCAGTATGACTTTTTAATTCCGTCAGGAGTGATTTCATTGAAAAGATTGATTTAATCTCTTACAGTTGGTGGATAAATTATTTGCTAAATTTCAGAACACAGATTTGTCCTTTGCTGCTGATCCCCGTGACGTCATTTATTGGGGATTTGCATTTTTATTAAAGTGGGATGGCTCAATTAGAGGTGCTTTGTGTCCCTCTGGCCTGCACCCAGCTGTACATAGCCTGTGATCTTATGTCTTTAAATAACCACTTTGAATTTAAACACACTGATTCTGTTTTACCTGTAGTTGACATGGAATTCCATAAATATGAGTGTAACAATTATGGGACCTGGGGGCCACTCTGGTGGTGCAGGAGTTAAGTCTCCGCACTATCAAGCTTTTGCTAACCACTGAGACCTGAGTTCGGATCTGCTGTTAGGGAGGTGACCCGCATGGCGCACAGACCTCTCCTGTCACTCCCACTGCTCCCCTCAGTTGTGGATTTCAGTAGATCTGCCTGTTCTGCTCCCCTCTCTGTCTCTGGGGAGTCCTCTCACCCCTCATATCTCTATCTTGATATGCATAAATGTAATAAAATAAAATAAAAAGATAATGGAACCTGACTCATTTTAGTTAAAAATGGAGAGAAATGTATAAAAGGCATCAAATTTAGGCATAAGCGTCTATAACGTTTTAATGCATAGTCACAAAATATAAAAGTTGCATTATCAATAAACACAGTTTTATCAATTAATATCAATAAATGGACGGTGGTGTTATTTGTCTGTTGATTATTTGTCATTGTGGTGTGTTGCAGGGTTATCAAGCTTATATGTCGGCTGCTCTCCACTTTTAAATAAACTCAGAATAGCGGAGTTTGGTCTAATTTTTGGATTACAGATCTTTTCCAAACATGATGCATTTTAAAAGTGGATTGGAACTAACGGAGCTACAAAACATGACGGTGCCCGAGGATGACAACATCAGCAATGACTCCAATGATTTCACAGAGGTCGAAAATGGTCAGATAAATAGGTGAGTATTTTTCCACTAACACTTTTTAACCAATACAAAAATAATCTCAAACGTTATTCCAGTTTTCAGCTACTCTCCTGAATTATGCATTCCTGAAGTTAGGCTCCATTTGAAGATGATCATTTGAATTGCTTATGTGACATCTGTGGGGGGCCTCTGCTATAACAGATGAAGCCACCAGGAAGGGAATTTATTCAGTCTCCAGATCTTTCAATTTAACCTAATAAACTGTATAAGTACATTCAGTGTATAAATACTTTGTGACCCAACCAGCCCTAACTTCACAAAAACTTTGCTTTTGAATTAAGTGATTAGAATTTCACCCCGTCCCATCTCTAGAGTATATAGCACCGCCATTAGACTCTGCCTGCATTTTAATCAAGAAGTGATCAACCTACCTGTTCTGTTCCCCACTTTGTTCCTGGTGAACCCTCTCTGGTCTATACCCCATTTCTGCTACACAAAAATAACTATATATTTTTTTAAAAGTAGTGATCAGAATTGCATTTCCTAAGTACCGGATGGTTTCATGCATAGCAGGAGCATAAGGGATCAGGGGGCAAAAGAGAGAGAGAGAGAAACAAATGTAATAGAGTAAAAATGGAAACAGTGAACAACTATAAACCAGAGACATTTTATGGGAGTGGAAAGGGGAATGGGATCAGAACTGGATGGGAGGAGTGCACTGGACTGTGGTGATGGCACACGGGTGAACTGGTGGTAGGAAGCCCATGGGGATTACAACTGAGATGGAAAAATGCACAAAATTAAGAATGATGTAAAAAGATTTAAAATATTTAAAAAAATTGCGTCTCCTAATGCCCCTTCTTATAACTACAAATACATCTCAACAAGCCATCGATTGTAACATGGATTTTAAATACCACTACAGTTTTATTCTCTTGAGCCCAAAGAGCTTTATTGGAAACTATACTAGGAAAAAGGCACCATGAGTGGAGGCTGAGCAGCTGGCAGAGGATGCGTGGTTAACTGTGACCTTGGCTAGCGGGTCCTTCCCACTCTTGGTTCCATGTTTCTTAAGTAATAAGGAGTGAATTTCATTTTCTTTCTTTTGTCCTCCCCTCCTCGCCTTTTCCTTCCCTCTTTCCAATGAGGTGGGATATTCTCTGACCTACTGACTTTATAGCCGGCTTCGGTGCTCCCTTAGCAGGAAGCTCGCTCTCCCGCTTAGGAGTTAGAGGTGTGGTTTGTTGTAGTCAGAGTCCTCCAGAAAGGGACTATTTATAAGAACAACAAAAGCTGCACTTTTGAGGGCAGAGTTAGGAAGTTGGGATGGAGTGTGAGAACTTCATGGCAGCTAAGCCAGCATCTTTGTAGAAAGCATTTCTGATTTTCTGCTTTACATTCTAATGGGTGTACTTAAAGTCCATGCAGGGTTCAGCTCCACACTTGCATACTCTTGGATATTTCCGCCTCGCTTCTCCTTTTTCTCTTCCTTAAATGTCTTTTGAGGTTAATGCAACTCAGTTGTTTCTTAACATCCAAATATCATTTACTGTGTTAGGGAATATTTCTTACCATTGGACTCCAGTACACTTCTTTTTTTTTTTTCCACTACACTTCTTTTTACTTTCTCTGAATAATTCCTACTAATTATCATTTCTTGAGGGCCCAAGGTTGTCTGCATTATCACTTATTGTTATGCGTAATATGCAAAATAATATATTTTTTTGGCAAATAAGGATAATTTAAAAATGTATTATACAAATAAGGAAACTGAGACTGAGAATAAAATCACTGGCCCAGGGTACATGCCTGTCTGTAGGAAATCCTTATTTTTCTTTTTAAAAAAATATTTACTTGGCCCTCCCTGGTGGCGCAGTGGGTTAACGCACAGCACTGAGAATCTAAAGCCGCTTCCGCATGAGTTCGATTCCTGCCTGCCCCGGAGGTGACCACATGGCGTGCAGACCTCTCCTGACCCGCCCGCTGCTCCCCTCAGCAGTGTACTTCGTTGATCTGCCTGTTCTTTTCCCCACGCTGTCTCTGGTGAGGCCTCTCACCGCCCCTGAGCCTCTGGCCTGCACCCCAGTTCTGTATGCACAAATAAATAAATCTTTAAAAAATAATAAAAAAAAAATATTTACTTATGTATATAAGAGCTGGGGTGTAGGGCAGAGGTGTGGGGTTGTGGTGGCATGGTTCCCCAGAGACAGAGTAGGGAGCAGAGCAAGCAGATCTATTGAAATGCAGTGCTGAGGGAAGCAGCAGGCGAGACAGGAGAGGGCTGCTGCACCAGGTGGGTCAACCTCCTGGCTGGGGATCCCGCTCATGCTGCAGTGGCTGGTCATAGCTTCATAGTGCTGAGCTTCAACTCCTTGTGCCACCAGGGAGGCCCTGGAAATCCTCATCTTTCTATTCTTTCCTGCTGCTTATAGCATTTGGACATTGGTAAAAAAGATAATCTAAATTCTGCCAGCACCATTCTATTATTCTCTTTCTGGGGTGCTCTGCAGTTTCGACTGACTTCCACTTATCCTGAGTAGGCTTCTAGCATTTCACAAATAGGACATTTTGTTTTTATAAAGAAACTTTGTTCTCAAAGCCATCAAATCTGGAAGACGAAGACCTCACAGTGAAAGTCATTTTGCACCATTTAGTTTCTAATCTGAACTTGCTCTTTCTACTTACCCAAAATACTAAGTTTGGGGGGGTAATGCCCCCCGTGGTGGGTAGAAGTGCCCATCCTTGCCCCTCACTTGAGCACCTGCCAGGGCCATGAAAGTCTGCACAGATGGTGTGGAAGGGGTGCTAGTCACGTAGAATTTGATTCCTGCAAATGTGGTGTGAAGGTGTTCATTTCCTTATTTACTGTGTCTTTTTCACTGAGATAGGTCATGAGCTTTTTTTTTTTTTAATGCAAACCTCACTTTTGGTTGCTAATATGTTTTGATTAAGGTACCTGATGTTGGTTTAGAGCATGATGGAGCTTTCAGGTGCCTCGAACTAGGATCCAGCATCTGCGCTCATGGCCATCACCCCCAAGTCTAGTTTGCAGCTGTCATCAGACAGCTGAGTCCCTTTACCCACTTCACTACCCCCCACCTCAGACCTCTCCCATCTTGTAGCCTTGAGTCTGCTCTCAAAAAGTTTATTTTTGCTTTATTTGTTTCGTTGCTTTATTTCTTTATATTCCACATATTACTGAGGCTGCCAGCATTTGTCTTTCTCAGTCTGACTTATTCACTTAACATAATCTGAAGTTCTTCCATGGTTTAAGATCAAAAATGTTGTAAGATTTAAAAAAATTTATTTTTACATCATTCTTCATTTTGTTCATTTTTCCATTTCAGTCGTAATCCCCATGGACTTCCCATCACCAGATCACCCATGTGCCATCACCATAGTCTCGTGCACTTCCCACCTCCCCCATTTTTGATCCCATTCCTCTCTCCAACCCTGTAAAATGTCTCTGATATATAGTTGTTCATTGTTTTTTGTTTTTCTTTATTACAATTGCTTCCCTCCTACCCCCCGCACCGATCCCTTATGCTCCTGCTGTGAGTGAAACCATCTGGTATTTTTCTTTTATCTTTCTGGCTTATTTCACTAAGCATGACCCCTTCCAGCTCCCTCCATGTTGCTGCAGAAGGCATGAGTTTATCTTTTTTGATTGCTGACTAATATTCCATTGTGTATATATGTTCCACATTCTTTTTAATCCATTATCTACTTTTGGGCATTTGGATTGATTCCATATCTTCCCTATTGTAAATAGAGCATCAGTGAACAAGGGGACACAGCTGTTCTTTTGAATCAGTGTTTTTGTGTCCTTTGGGTAGATACCTAGGAGTGGGATTGCTGGGTCCTATGGAAGCTCCATGTTTAGCAGTTTGAGAAACTCCAAACAGTTTTCCATAGTGGTTATACTAGTTTGCATTCCCACCAGCAGTGCAGGAGAGTTCCTTTTTTTCCACATCCTCACCAACATTTATTGTTGCTAGTTGTTTGAGGATGTGCCATTCTCACTGTAGTGAGATGGTATCTCATTGTGGTTTTAATTTATATCTCTCTTATTACAAGTGATGTTAAACAGAAAATGTAAGATTTTATTTTATTTTACTTAGTTGTAGCTGAGTAGTATTCCATTGCTCTCTTATATCTCACATCTTCATAACCCATTTGTGTGTCAATGGACACTTAAGTTCACACAAACCTCGCTTTTAATTATTGGGATTAACAGACATGCCGTTACTTTGTCAAGCTGCCATTGTTAGGGCAGAATTCTGTCAGGCAACCAGACAGCACTTAGAGAGCCTGACTGGTCTCCTTCCTGCCATTTAGTCCTTTCAGGCCATGTCTGGGCTTTGGAGCTAATGAAATAAACTGCCTAAATGGCTTGTCCTACAGCTCATGGCAAGTCACTAAAGCACACAATTTTATTTCCTACTACCCCTTTCTCAGACCTTTAACACTTTCTTTTGTTTTCTTACAACACTAACATTTTTTCCCCCTCCATCTCTCAGACCCTTACCATTCTCAATATATTTCTTCCTGTTAAATACACATCTCGCTTTACTTTTATTTAGGATTATTATATCCTCCATTTTTAGTAAAACATTGTCATCGCTGTTATACTATTATCTTTCATTGTCATCGCTGTTATACTATTATCTTTTTGGACTAGATGGCTTTTTAAAAAGAAAACAATTTTATTTTCTTATAATAAGGAGCAAAAAGTAAACTTGAAAGTCCAGTTTCTTTATAAACCTGAAAGTTTCAATTATAGTTTTAGTTTTTTTTTTTTTTTTAGAATTCCAAATGCAGGGTTGTTGATAAGGAGCAAAAGGTAAATACCTTAGGTTTTAGTTTGTTTGATATGCCTATATACCAAGTTTTCAATACAGTTTTATATTTAGGAAGTTTTTAATCAGATAGAAGTCAAAAGCCTTATGTAGTAAGGCTTATAATAAGAATAAGTTTCCAATATTAATCATCACCAAAAACCTAGGGCTTAAGACCAAACCATTTTAAAGACA